GATTCCATGAATAATAAGGCATTGGTATGAATAGAGAAAGTAGTATAAATAGAAGAAGTGATGTAGAAATCACAACTAAAATTTGTAGGTTTATCTCTTCCAGAAGAGAGAGAAGGGATTGCATCTTAATTCAGAAGGGATTACATCTCAGTTCTGTAAAAGTTTCTGCCTACTTCCTCAAAAGTAATTTGAAGGGGATCTCTTTTGTGGACCTCTCCTTTAGGAAAAAAAAAAAGAAAAGTCAAGTGAGAACTGCAGCAAAGGTAGCCTGGGTTAAATAAAAAGAGTAAGCTCTAACTGTTGGAAATGTTGGAAGATGTTCCTTGGGGAAGTTCTTGACATTCCTTCGTTGGAGGCTTTAAAAACAAAATCCAAAACCTACGGCTTAAATTGGGTGTAGATAGCTTCTTGTTTTATGGGAGCTTTAAGATTTAAATTCTATTTTCAATGTTGCACTTGTCCTTCTCTGTCCTTTTCTACCTCAAGTGTGTGTGTGCATAGACAAAGTTTTATAGTTCTCCATTCTAAGGGAGCTTGCTCAGAACAGACGAGGAATGTTTGTCTTCTCTAAATAGCTCATAAGTATTACCTGGCTTATACTACCTGTTTCCTCTCTTCCCTTGTACCATCTTACTGGTGAAAATAGGGAGAGCTACCGAATCCTTCTTTGATCAATGGAGAGAGAAGCCAGAGACCAGCATTTGTATCTCTGGGGGGGAAAAGGAATAGCATAGTATTATGTTGTTCCTCCTTCCCAGTTCCTGGGAGAGATCAATAATCCATCTTCCCTATTTGTACACTTTATACTAGGGCAGCCAAAAAAGAGTTGTTGTGCTCTGAATTCCCAAAGTTCAGCGTAATATTATAGCTTCGCTTCTTGCAATGTTTATCCGGATAACTAACTACTTATTAGGATACAGTGCTAATATGAAATCATGGAACTTTGATGGAATGATTCATGTTTAAAACTGAATTTACCACTGGCTGGATGTCTGCAAAGAAATGCTTGAGGAGTTAAGCAGGGTTTTTTTTTTTGTCCTGAATAATTTTCAAGCCTAGGTGAACTTCATTAGTAGATACTGCAGCACTGTAGTGCTGCTGGATCTTGCCATTTTTCAGCCAAGACGGTATTTTACACTGTGTCATATGTGGTTTCTATATCCTTGTGTAAGTGTTAGTTACATGTGCAACCAAGCTGATGCAAGTTTAAAATTTGGACTTCCAGAAAACTATAGTGAATGAAATCCTTGTTGTATGCCAGAAGCACTCTCACAGAGTTAAAAATGATGCTACTGAGCAGGGTATTGGAGATCTGTGCGATCTTTAGATATGCAAAGTAGAAGAAACTTAGCTATTTTAATTGTAGAGAGCCTCTTAAAAAAAACCCTATTTTTCTCTAGGAAATGTAAAGCTACAATTCAATATGTTACGTGGATGTGACCCTAACTAAAAGCTTTCTTTTCGTTGAAGATCCAGATCCAGAAGACATTCGCACAGACGTTACACTCGTTCCAGATCCCATTCCCATTCTCATTCCCATAGGAGACGTTCTCGAAGCAGATCGTACACACCAGAATACCGTCGTCGAAGGAGCCGTAGTCATTCTCCAATGTCCAACAGGAGAAGGCACACTGGCAGCAGAGTATGTCATGTTCATCAAGGCTGAGTATCAACAAAACAATTAACTGCTTACATCAGTGTAGTCCGGGTTACCTGCAGGCTGCTGTCTTGTCACTGGAGGGTATGGGAATTTGGGGAGGGAAGCAATCGCTGTACTTACAGCTGGGCACTTATTTCTTGGGCCTGCAACTGGCAGGGCAGTTGTAGAAATTCATTGAAAACCTTACCATTGCAAGTCAGTATGTGCAGATAGGGTGACATCTGCTTCCGTCTGCTCTAGGAGTTGAACCCTTCTGATTTTCTTTTTGCTACAGTTCCGAGTATATGTACCCTTCATGAAAACAAGACTTTTTCTGTGCATGCTTGCAACGTGACAGTATTGATAAGATTGACTAGAGGAACCAAAGAAGAAAATTCTCAAGTGTTTATTTGCTTAAAACATACAGCATATTATGTTGAAGGTTGCTTGCGATTTTATACCTCTGAGGAATTAATTTGGTTTAACTTGAAGAAATAAACCCATGTGTTGTTAGCTAATCCGTAAATCTTAGTAGACTAGAAAAAATTACAGTTAGGAAAAGGATCCGTAAGCCTCTGAAAACGTAAATTACAAGTATCTTTGTATGGACAGGGGGAAGTATAGGTACACCAACCAAGTTCTAAGATGGTGATCTTATGTCATTCTGAGAGATTTGGCTGTCCAGGTTTAACCCTGCAGGCCACTAAACATCATGCAGCTGCTCACTCACCCTCACCCTCCCCCACCCCCAGGGAATGGGGAAGAGAATTAAAGGGGAAAAGGGAAGGAGACTTGTGGGTTGAGATAAGAACAATTTAATAATTGAAATAAAATAAAATAAAAAGTAATAATTATAACAAATAGTATACAAACGAGTGGTCCACAATGTAATTGCTCACGACCCACTGACCAATGCCCATCGTGTCTCGGCTAGTCATCCCGAAATGGAAAAGTCCTGAAACCACAATCCCAGAAGCACAAGAGCCTTGAAGAGAGATCCAAAGAGAGCGCAACTTCCTAGCCATCCCCTGTCTGTGTAATGGGCACGATGTTGCACAATATGGAATATTCTGTTGGCCAATTTGGGCCTCAATCCTAAATCAAATCTCAAGTCCTGACATAGTTGTGGGCCCTTTGTTGCAACTATGCTCCCTACCAGTTTGTTGTGCACCTGCACACTGGCAAAACATGGAAAGATGAAAAGTGTCCTTGATGTCTCAGCAGCAACTGTAAACATCGGTGTGCTGTCAAAATTCTTCTTATAACAAATGTCATACTAAATCCAGATCACAGAGCTATTCTAGCTACTAAAAAGAAAACTAACTGTCCCAGCTGAAATCAGGACAATGGCTGCCTTTATAATCAGTTTCAGTGCCTTAGCTTCTGGTTCCACATCACTTCAGGCTGATCTAAATGAGTGCTGTTACACACAGGGCTGCATCTACTGTGGTGAGGGCTGTGGTACTTTTCTGATCTTTTTAGTTTTATTCTGGTTTAGTTGCTCTGAATTTTTACTAATCCTATCAAAAAGAGTATAGTTTTTTTGCAGGCTTACCTTGGTGAAGCAGCTCACTAGGACCAGTAAGACCAATGTGAGGGAGAAGACAAGTGTGTGGAAAAGGGCAAGACCACAGCAGTGCTAATTTACAGTGGCTTAAGCTGTTGCGAAGCAATGTTCATAGTTACGCTTTTTGTGGATCGTTGCCAGTGTGTAATCATGATGTAGTAAATATGAATCTAACGTCTTGAAAAATTGGCAGGAATAACTGAACTTCAGAAGAGTTAGCGGATTTCGTGGTGCAAGATGAATGAACCCACTTGACTACTTTATGAAATATTAGACTATTTTACTCTGTGAAGAAGTCTTTTTGCCTTGGAAGTGACTCTATGAAACATGAAGCTTGCTTTCACAGTGAATTTCACATTAATTCTAAGGAGTAGTTCTAGTAGTGTCAAAACGAAACTCAAATCAAGCAGATTTGAATCCCCTAAGTAGTGAGGTCCTAAAGACTCCAGGAAAATTGGTAGCAATTTTGCCACTTCTGACCATGTAGAGAGCTTGCATACTGTGTTGATGAGAGGCAGTAGAAAAAACTAACGTAAAAGCTGTCTTTTAGTCCTCCACAGTCAGTTTAGTCCTTTCAGTGGTGATGTAACTGTTACTTAACACTTCTGGTGCTCAGACTGTTTCTTGGTACTTTTCTTGCCTCAGAAAAGGTAATAGGGCTTAAGTGTAAGGGGGATGTAAGAAAGGACAATACTGATATGCACTGTGCGGAGGGACTTGTCCAAACAATGATATAAAAGATGAGAGATTTCATTAGACTCACAAGAGTTTCAATAATAAAAGGAGTATAGCTGTTAATGCTGCTGCATTTTCAGATAGATTGAAATACAGAGTAAAAAAGAAAACTAAACCTGTATAATTAAAACGTTCAAATGACAAGCTGCCAGGTTTTGTTGTGCTCTTCAACTATAATAAGAAATTGTAGAAGATTCATGTCTTAAAACATGGCAGGAAAGAAACTTCAAATATACGAGTAGTTCGGACATCTTATTTTCACAATGGGTTTCTGAACAAAAGCTCTGAAAAGAACAAGACAAAAGATCTAAACCTGTTCATTCTTTGAATCAGACTGAAAGGCAAGCTGAGGCATAAATTGCTGTGCATCAGTGGCTTTGAAAATCTGAAACTGAAACACTAATTTCAACTGTGTCAACTTCCTAGTTGATATTTTAGCAGAAACATTAAATCCCTGTGCCTGTTGCTGCTTTTTTAAATTTCTGCATCTAGTATAACTAATGCCAGAAGCTTAACTGAGAAAACGAAAATTTTGATAAAAATAGTGCTTACAGTGAAATTGGCACTAGATGAACTCTCTGGCATGTAGAGAAACTTTGAACCTAATAGAGAAATTGTAGAGAAATATTTGGCTTCCGTTAGTTGAAGCAAAATGTATTAAGTAGATCTGTATCCCGCATCACGTTAAAGAATCGAGAGTCTTGCTCTAGAAAAGTGTGCAGGCTTTTGGATTACAGTTTCACAGAACTGGCCTTCGGCAGTTGTTACTATCTAGATGAAAGCAGGTGGTGATTTTCATCCAGTTCACGAGTGGAAAGAGATAAAAGTTTCAAATGTAAATACTGACTTTCAGTATAGCTGGATAGGAAACGCTGAGGGGGGAGGAAGTTCTGATAGAAGCTAAAACTGTAGTTCAACGGTCCATGTTTAGGAGCTCAGATGCACTTAGCGTGTGCAGCTGGAGGCAGCTGCACTCTAGTACCAGTGGTGACCATGCAGAAAGGCTGAAGGTGGGAGTTGTTCTTAGCACAGGCCTGTATGTCATGTCTGCAGCTTGTTGGTGATTTGAGTGTGAAATACTAATAATAGACTAGATTCTTGTTGTTCTATAGGTTTTCTGTAATCAGAATGCTTAATTTTTATCCACTGAATTTTTCACCAATGTGAGAAGTTTGTCTTTTTTCTGAAATGAAAATAATGACAGTAGTTGCTTTTTGAAAATATCTTTGGATATTGTTGTTTGGAATAACAACTGTTGAAGTGTTAAGCTTTGTAATAAACTATGTTTAATTTTCTGCATATTATTTTTTTTAATAATTGAGAAAGTTTGATATGCAAATGTATAACTTGTTTTTTATAAACTTAATTGGAGTTGAACGTTTTTCTTACCAGGCTAATCCAGATCCTAATACGTGTCTCGGAGTGTTTGGTCTCAGTTTGTATACCACTGAGAGAGATTTGCGTGAAGTGTTTTCCCGTTATGGACCTTTGACTGGTGTTAATGTGGTTTATGATCAACGGACTGGACGATCGAGAGGATTTGCTTTCGTTTATTTTGAGAGAATCGATGATTCTAAAGAGGTAAATTCATGCTTTACTACTTTTAACAGATGTACTCCTCGTGCATTGTCTTTATGGATGTATCTGGGGAAAAAAAAAACACAAAACGTTTTTGAGTGCGTATTCACTAGCAGGTTCTCACAGACTAATTTAAAATAGTTTGTTCAAGCAACATGGCACTTCTAACAGGTGAAGCATTTTAGTTCAGTGTTCAGATGCTTGGGGAAGTCTTCTTGAGTATGAGCCGTCTGTATTGAATCACTGAGGAGCGTTGTGCTTTGATTTTTAGTCTGTTTCTTCAAAATGAAGGTAAATCTTTAGATGTTCATACAAGCCTACTAGTATTTTTTAAATACTTGGAAAGTTGACTTTTCAAAGTAGCTTTCTGTATCTATCAAAATTCTGAAGATTCTCCTTCTATTTTTTTCTCTAAAAGCATGTCATTGTGCATTGGAAAAATAGCAGGTTTTGTCTTGGCTTGAGCCTTAGTGACTTCACTAGTTATAGGTAGCTCTTTACAGCGGAACTAAGTTGTCATTAGTATAATTGATCTGTAAGGAAAGAATCAAAGAATGTGGACAGCAGCCTGTATTGTGATTCACCACAGTGAGCAGTACTGTTTTTACCTTTGTAGAGATACTGTGAGCTTTACTACGTTTAGTGGAATTTGTAGATGAAAATGCTGTTAAAAGTAGGGAGACATCCTTTTTTTCGAAAAATTTTTTTGTTTGTTTAAGCCTTCACTGTGGGTTTATCTTTCTTTTTGGGCCAACTGACTCACAGACTTCAAGCATCTTGTTTATGAATTAATAGTCTTGGGCAGATGTTTCAGATTTGCTGTTTGATTCTGTTTACATTAAATAAGTATATATGTAATGCTTGGATGTAACTCTAATCCCTTAGCATTGAAGGGAAGGAGGGTGACAGCTGTGGAACCTACTATCCGTAGCTGAAAAATGAACACTGATGCTAGTTGATACTTTAATGAGAAAAAAAATGTTTCATGGAAGACTTGGTTGGACTAGATTCAGTTCTGATCTTTTACTAATTTCGGGTATGATGGCAACAGAGAATCAGTTTATGGGAAGAGTAGAGTTTGTAGTAGATGTATGTATGTGGTGGTTGCAGGTTACAGAGGTAAGTAAAAGGACAGCATCCTGTGTATTCCAACTGTCACTTTAACAGGTGGAAAGAGGGGTTAATGAGGTGGTGGATAGCTGTATAGCCATCTTCAGTAGCCTACTGTCTTCTTCTAGCCTCGTATTTCTTTGCACTGAGTTTGGTGGGATTTTGAAAATGTGACCGTTTTGTAGAAAGTTTAACTTGCACAGCATTTCTTGTCACATTCATGTACCAGTCTGGTCTCTTTTACAACTTCATAGGTCTTTAGAAGTAGGATTTTTTTCTAGTTGCCATGGGCAATGGTCATGCATGACACCATGCATTTCTTAAAACGCTCCGTGTAAATAGCATGAAGTATTTTGTTTAGTATAAAGCTGTTTTGGCAGATACTACAAAACTGGAATGCAAAGAAAAAAAAAAGATATTACTTGCAGTCAGAAGTACAGAAATACAGACAAGCACCTTAAGCAGGAACTGAAATAATTGGGAATGTAATTAAACCCATTTTTTTTCTCCTCAACGGGCTGGTGTGTGAAGAGGAGGAAAGGATGCAAAGCCTCCCAACACTTGGAATTTACATAACTGAAATATTTTTGCAAAGAGGAGAGGAGAAAAACTTGATTATTTGTCAAGATTTCATGGGCCTTGAGGACAGATTTGAAGATTGCAACAAGTGGTAGCTAGTGTAGAAAAAGGAGATCCAGCTGTAGGCATGAAACTCTGTGACAGGCCCTGCAGGAGAATGCTGAAGGACATGAAGTAATTATCTGTGTGGAAGATAGATAAAATCTGAAAAGTTGAGTATGCATAAAAACAGTGATGCTTGAATTACTTTTTTTCTGAGTAAAAACCTCTCCTCTTAAAAAAACCCAAAACAAACCAAAACAAAGAGAAAACCACCCCAAATTAAGAAAAAAAAAAAAGGCAAACAAAACCCCAAAACCCTGAGTCTCCAAATAAAGAGAATAAATATAAGACTCTAGATGAGATGTTGAACTAAATTCCAGCCCTCTTAAAGCAGTCATAGATGGACTAGATGTGTGTAGAACCCTACAGAAAAAGGAAGATTTCACATAATCTTTGCTGTTGTCCTTCCAAGAGAGGTAACGTTGGGAAGCTTTTCAGCTGACATGCTCTCAAACACTGTTAATACTAAATCTAACACCAAACAAATTGTGAGTAGTTATGTTTAAACTTCCAGAGCTTGGTTTAAGATAGGTCAGTATCAGTATTGGATTCTGTTGCAGCTGAATTCCCTCAGGATCTTTGTTGTCACTGGTTACAGTTCTTACAAACTGGATGGGTTATTGAGCTAGTTAAAATGTTGCTATGTTCTGAAATCAAGTGATGCAATGTTTCTAGCTCCACATCATGGTAAAGGTATTTAGAAATGTCAGCTGGCTCCATGTGGCGGAAATCCATAGACAATGTAAAACAGCGTTTTTTGAAGGTGATACTTTGCAGTGTCCTAAAAACAACAAAGGGACAAGAAAAACAACAAAGTTTTTCTCTTATGCTGTTTTAGACTTTCAGAAACTCATATTGCTTATGACACCGTAGCAGCCTTGTCATTAGCTGTTTATGATCGTGTTGGTTATAAAGGGGAGTTTTGGTTACTACTGGGGAGAGCAGCTGTTGGAGCGTTACAGTAGCTTCAGTCATTCCACCTTAACAGGAGTGGGAAAGAGATGTTGGGTGCATGTGTTCTTTCTAAAGAAGATTTCTTGTGGAATCCCTTCTGCTCTGTTTGAGACTCAGCTGAGACTGTTAGACCATGAAGATTCATCTCAGAAGGTTGCTTTTCTATCAAATGTCTTTTATTGCAGAGGTCTAGTGTTTGCAAGTGTCATGGTTTAACCTGGCCGGCAACTAAACACCATGCCCCTGCTCACTCATCCTCCCCACCCCCTGGGGAAAGGGGAGAAGAATTAAAGGGGAAAAGGGAAGGAGGCTCATAGATTGAGATAAGAACAATTTAATAATAATATGAAATTAAATTTAATAATGGCTAATAATGATACATTAATGTATATATGATTATAATAATATATACAAACAACTGATGCACAGTCTAATTGCTCACCACCTGGTGACAAATGCCTGTCCTGTCCCATCAAGCAATGCTGAAACAGTTAAGTCCTGACACCACAGTCCTTGAGGAGTGAGAGACCCGAAAAGAGAGTGAGAGAGAGAACTCCAAGAGACTGAGAGCACCTCCCAACTTCCTGGTCAGCCCTCATGTATATACTGTGCGTGATCGTTGCATGATATGGAATATTCCGTTGGCCAGTTTAGCCCTCAATCTTAAACCTAAGTTCAAATCAGAAATCAGAAGTTGTGGACCCTTTGTCCTGGCCATGCTACCTCCTCAGCCTGCTGTGCACTTGCGTGCTGGCAAAACTTGGGAAGATGGGAAGCCCTTGATGTCTCAGAAGCAGCTATAAACATCAGTGTGCTATCAACATTCTTCTTCTAACAAGTCCCATAGTAAATCTGAAACACAAAGCTATTCCAGCTACTAAAAAGAAAAACTAACTCTGTTCCAGCTGAAACCAGGACACCATGATAGCACTTGGGTAGGTTGTTATGTTCTGACCCGTATTAAAGATGCTCGTAGACACTGTCTTTAGTTCGAAACATGATAGCAGACAGTAAATGTTGAGGATTGACAGTTGTTTCTCCAGAACATCCGAGCTTTTGCTGTGCTAATGTTGGTGTTGGTGTGCTTATTCAAAGCCTATTTGAAAAGCTTATGTATTATCTGCCTTTTTCTAGAAGAAAGGATATTCTCTTTGTAGGTGTAGTGTTTTTCTTTTTTTGTGAAGTTGTGTTGTTTTTCTTAAACAACAACAACAACAAAACTTCTCTAAGTAATATTTGGTATTGCTTTTTTGCCTTGTGCGTTGCAGTGGCTTGTCTTACATGGGCTACCCTTCTGCTAAGTCTTCAGAACTACATGTGTGGCATTATGCAAAGGACAAGATCTTTAAACATCTGTTGAAGACCTGTTTCTCAAGATTGGCATAGTTCTCAGTATTGGCAACACTGACACTGAGCCAGTGGATATTACAGTTTTGCAATATTTTGCTCAATTACAGAGGATATTCACCTGCCTGTCCCATTAGGATTTTCTTCCTGTTTAGAGGAACACAAACTTTTGTGTAGTGGGATACACTTCAAAACTGCAAAAAAAAAGTTGAGGAGGGAGATTGATTATTTCAGGGTTGACAGTAAATTGAGAGGGTTCTGAGTAAAAAGTGCTGGCTGTTCTAGGGACATAATTCTTACTAGAGTTACCAGGAATTTCATATGCCATTATCCAGCTTTTCAGTAACTCAGAATATGAAATATTGGTTGTTGTTTAAACTACTGTGAATGTACTATGTGTCTGTAGCAAGAACTCATCTGAGAAGCATTAGCTACAGCAGCTGTTGGTAATACGGAATTTTCCCTTTTCTAATGCTAGTTATGCTTTTTATAGTCTTGACCATCTTTCAGAACCGTTTTCTGAAGTAGCGTTCATTAGCAGTCAAGACAAACTTTATACAGGGAAACTGAGCTATTAACGTAATTCAGCTGACAAAGAGCAGAATAATAACAGGGTTTTTCGGTTTAATTTGCAAGGCATTTCATCTGTGGTGCACGCAGACTAGCTTAGAAACATCATTATTGACCAAAATTTCTCCTATAGCCTGTTGAAGAAGTGCTTTAAGGATTGTTTGTGGTATCAGAAGGGACCCTTGATATACCAGAAAAGAACACAAGAAGGTCTCAGATGTTTGGAAATACAAGTTACACGCTTCCGGAGACTCTGAAATACTGTGAAATTGCTAATACTTGCAGAAATACATCCAGTTACTCATTCTGGTTCTCTAAAATCTTGTATTTCTTGACTCAAAACTCGTTGAAGTGTGCTTTAAAGAGAATACATTTAATCAGTAGATGTTTAAACTCAGAAATTTATATATATAAATTATCATTTATTATAATCTAATAATATTTTTAAAAACAAAACCTTAAATTAGAGAATGCAAATTGACTCTTGTTCAAAGGTGAAATGGACACTTGAATTCAACTGGGCAGACTGCAGTAAGTGTAGAAAGCTGGGTTGCCTAATTTCTTTTTTCATCTCAGATTTTTTTTTTTTTTTTTCCCCCCTAGAATGTCCTTTCAGATATCTTCATTAAATCCAGAGCTGAACTCATGAACCAGTTTACTAGGGGGGAAAAAAGCTAATCTATTATGTTGTTCATCCCATGCTGTACCTGTGATACAGTGGAGATGATGTTTTTATTGGTAGCATTAAGTACAATATGGGAAGGACTTCAGGTAAAAAAGACACAAACAAGAAACCCCCAAAAAACACAGCAAACAAAAAAGACAGTCTCTTACATAGTTACTTTTAAATAATGAAAATACATTTTCAGAATGAGTCCCAACATAAATTGCTGATGTTTTACTATTCAAGTGTGTTCAGTCTGTATTTCACTAACTTTATGGTGATGTGACATTATTGAAGTAAATTTGGAGCAGCTAGACACAGTTGAAATGAAGGCTTGATGATCTTTCATACCATGCACGCAGTATCTTGAGCTCCACGGTAGAAATGTGAAGTGACTGTGACAACAGCTCTGCCAAGTCAAGTTCTCTCCCTTCTCTTCTCTTCTTCCTTGCACCCTTCCCCTGTGGCCACAGTGAAGATTGCAGAAATGTCCCACATTGTTTCCTTGTCCAAGCTGCCCTTTGTGGCATTATCCAGACTAAAAGATTTATTTCATTTCTTCCAGTGAGTTCTTGATTGCTTAACTAATAGCAGTCGCCTGTGTAAGCTTGTGCATACAATTAAAAGTTCAGTGTTTCCAGGCTCGTTTTACTTTACCTGAATGCTAATACATGTACAAAGCAAACCAGACTGTAATAAATATCAATTGAAATTGAAATCTGTTAAGTTTAATGCTTTCTTTCTGTTTTGAGCCACTGGAGGCTGTGATCCTGTAGTTTGGGAACTGCTCATTTTGTCAAACTGACACCTTACAGTTAATAGTTTGAAGGAGCTTTGTTATTGTGGATAGACTGCTGTAGGTTTAAAACTATAATTTAAGATTGTGTTATTACCTGTGCCGTTCCCAATCCTCTTTCTCTGTTTTCTGACTGCAAACAAATAGGTATGTCTTCTGGCCTACAAGGTCAATTTCTCCTTAGAATTTGCAACCAAAACTAATAGTGCATGTTTATAGGAATCCTGTTTGCTTGCTTGCTTACTGTTATCTTGCAAAAGCCATGCAAGTTTCTTAACAACATTCAGATATTTGGAAGAAAATTCAGGTTGAAATAAAAATGGACTCTTGACAGTTAAAGGCTCCTAAGAGGGTATTGTGTGGCTTAAACCCCAATGTAATTTGATTTTTCTCTTCAAAATATTTCATTTGATGGTCTAGAAAATACAGTATTTGAGAAGGTCTCCACATTGTTAGAGCCAATATGCAGGTTTTTCCCTTTGACTTGTAAATGTTCTTAACACGGCATTCATGCACACCCAAAAACAGCAAGAAAAGCAAACTGAAATTTGTTTTGAATATGACATGCTAGTCTAATAAAATTGTAAAATCCAAAATTTGTTTATAAACTGTTTTGACCTTAAAGAAGACACAAAAAGTCAGTAATTAGAATCACTAATATGTTTTTACAGTGTTTACACAAAATAAATGCTATCGTATCACTTGTCTGAAACCAAGTTTTCAAATAGGTCTTTTGGTCATATTGCAGCAGTCATTAGTTAATAACGACAACTTAAATATTTTGTTTCGAAGATTCGATGTGCACATTAAGAATGATGCGGAGAGTTTGAAAACATCTTTGGAAGGAATTTCCAGTTGCTACTGACTGAATGGGAGTGATACTATCAATTGCTCTGGGATTCGTAATGGCTTATTGTAGGTTTTGGCTTTTCTGCATTTGGAGGATGAAGTCAGAGCTGTAGAAGGCTTTGTTATGTCTGTATATCTATTAAAGATTTTTATTATTTTAAATTTTTTAGCTGACAGTTACTGCTGACAGCTGCTGAAAGCTAAGAAAATTAAAGTTCTAATACTGGGTAGGTCATTAGGCATTGTGACCGGGATGTCTGAGTTTCATACAGACTGGTTAACTGTGAACTAATCTTTATACACTGACATGTAGCACTTTGGTATTTCCAAAACAAACAATCAAGTCTCAAAATGAACTTATTCATCTGTCTTGCTGTTATGTTCTTCTCTCTGTTGCTCCCTAGGTCAAAGAACTCTTCCTCTTAGAGGTGTTGTGTCTTATTTAGTTAAAAGAATGATGTACTAAATGTTCTGGATTTGAGGTGGCTTCTTGTCAGCTAAGCTTATTATTCTGTAAGTTTTTGGTCGGACCTAAAAGTGTTGTGAAGCAGAAAATTCCTTACCTTTCAAGACACCTTGCATATTGCTGCATTTCCAGAAAGGTGCTTTTCATCATGAAGTTAATTTTTCAGCCAGTCATTTGCAGCCTTTGTTTTTAAGTTTGTGCACACGTACATTCCTAGGGTGTGTGCACAGATTTATTTTAGTTTAGATCATCCTTGTGGAACAGGACTTGAGAGTGAAAAAAAAGTGTCAAGACTAGGAAGCTGAAGCTAAGGATCATGTCTTGTTGACAAAACATACTTTAGTGTATGTTGAAAGACTTGATGCGCTCGTTGGTTCTGCCTTGCAGTTAGCTAAATGTGGTTGTATTTTTGTATGGGAACAGCCCTCACTAGGTGGCGATATAGTATAAACAGTGTTATTAAAACACAAACTGAGTGTAGTGAAAGAGGTTAGTGATAATCCAGTCACTTCGAGTTTGGGAACCTCACAGTTAAATCATGTGAGTGTCAGGTTTTTGTTTCCTCTATAACTTGTATGTTATTTCAATAAAGTTCCTGTTAGAGAGCTGCAAAAAGTTCTGAATAGTTGTTTGTTTCATTATTTAAAAAAAAATAAAATAAAAAAAAAGCTCTGAGGCACCTTCATGTTTTGAAGTTGTGTATTGTTCCTCACATTTGAAATTTAAAAGCGAAGTGGTTGTGGTCTTTATCTCAAGATTGTAACAGTGTCTCTTTTCCACACATGAAAAAGGAAAATCATGTATGTTGGACTAAGCACTGTGCTTAAGCGTCACAAACTAAGTGGTGTGTACCAGTATTTCAGAGATCCCAGAGCAGCTGATGAAAGGATCAAAGAAATTTGCTTTGCAAATTCCAATAGCTTTTAAGTCCAGCATTAACTGTTTAAATTTTTAAGATTGTGGTTTTGTGTGTTTGGCGTTTGTTTTCATTTTTTGGGGGGTTTTTTTGAAGTTACTATTGCATGAATATAATTCTCAAAAGTATGCTGTGTGCCTTTGAAAAACTACTTTTGTGGTTCTGAGTTTGTGAAAGGCCATTGTATTGATTCTCAAAGAGTAGAGAAGCTGTGTCTGGAACACCCAGTGAGTGTGTGCCGGGGCTGCGGGCGGGTCTGAAGGCACAGCCTGCTCAAGCACAGACCCTTATGTGTATCGCTTTAGCGAGCTGCTATTGTGAGAGTGAGTGGGGAGGAAGGTTGTAATTAGGTATCCATGTAGGCTGAACCCGCCATTTTACTAAGCTCTGCTGGAGTAGGTCCTTGTAAGGGAGATGGCAGGAGGCTGGGAGAGCATGAAATGGCAGCCGACTAGCAGTAATCCGGCCATATGCACCCTACAGGAAGCCACTGTTTTGCTCGGCTTTTGAATCCGCCCGTCCCCTCTGGGTCAGAGACGGTGGTAGGAAGGAAAGATGCAGTTTTCAGAAAAAGCTGATTTGGCTTTCAGTTTACCTTTCTGATGGGCAGAAGACAAAGTCTAGGGAAAAGTGACTGTGCTAGTGGTTAGCACCGTGCTCTCCTAAGAAGGGTTTGCGAAGGGTTTGTGTCTCGCATTACTCCAGCACCCCAGTGCAGTCCTGTAACACTGCCGGCAAAGGGATCAGGGCACAGATGAGCTGTTCGCCACAGTGGGGCACTAGTAGCCAGTCTAATGAAAACAAGTTCTGGGCTTGTTTTTCAGATGGAAAATAACGTGTTTTGTACCTAGCCTTCCAGAATTACCAGTAGGTTGCAGGTTTCACGTCCCTGTTCATGTCTCTCCTGCAGGCAATGGAGCATGCGAACGGTATGGAGCTGGATGGCAGGAGGATTCGGGTGGATTACTCGATCACCAAGAGAGCACATACACCCACCCCAGGCATCTACATGGGCAGGCCAACACAGTAAGGAGTTCACTCATTTTCTGTAGTGGGACTAAAATTGATTTAAACTGAATTTTGGGAGTCTGGTTGAAGAAATAGAGCTACAGATACTTTTTTGGAATTTTAGAGTTATGCCAATTGTATTTTATCTTGAAGTCACTAACATAGAGTGCAATACTATGGTTCACATGTCCTATTAAATCCTGCTGTAGTTTATTGTATCTTTATTTATTAAAAAACACTGAAGGAGTTTTTTAAAAAAATAAATCCAGCACAGTCAGTTAATGCACCCTTAGCTTACTGAAATACAAAGGTGCTCGTTTGCCTTTGATTTTGATGAGAATTAGGCTCTCATCCCTGGTGGGTTTTCTGGGGTTTTTTCAAGGCGTTTTTCTTTAAATTTTTCATTGTTAGATTGTTTCATGACATAGTCTTAAGTGTCTGATTTACAAGAACACTTAAAAAACCTTTTAAATAATTTAAATTAAGGTGAGGAGTAGATATCTGAAGTAATTTTTTTGCCTTTTCTCTAATAGCAGTGGAGGAGGTGGTGGCGGTGGAGCAGGTCGTCGCCGTGACTCATATTATGATAGGGGATATGACAGAGGATACGACAGATATGAAGAATATGACTACAGATACAGGTACCTGTGGATTTGTTTTGTAAAACTGAAAAGCTAGGTGACAAAAAAAGTTACTCAGTTTGTAGCAAGATTCTACACACATGCTTGCGATGTATTAGAGCCTCATTACATGAGGTTTTGTCAGATTAAAGTAGTCATAATCTTCAGTGTTTGTGTTTTACAGTAAACAATTGGGCAAGGGATTAATTTTGCTACCTGAAGAAGGCAGAGTGTGTGCCCTGTGAATCTAGTGGACAGATAAAAAGGGAACTCATTTTTCCATGTGTATGTAGAACCAGGGACAGCTGACACACAGTCCTGTTAAAAAGGGGTTATTTGTAGATGGGATTTTTAATGCTTGACATTTCATAACCATCTCACTGTTTCGAAAGTTATGTAGTTTCAGAGAATGTTGTTCAGCAAGAATTGTAGGCGTCTGTAAAAGCACTTCATGTGTTTGCTAGGCTGGTGAGAGTTTATTAAATTCTGTATCTGGGAATATCTTACAGTTTTAAACGCATCCAATAGAGGAATATAAAAGCATTTGTTAAATAACTGTAAGCCACAGCCAAATAAAGCTGAAATCATTCATGCAGGCCAAGTCTTTCAGTGCGAAGGAAATGGTTCTGTTTTGTAGAAGTGATGTGAATAAGGCTTCTTTCATAATGGATGTCGTTGGGTTTCTTTTTTAACTTCTTTTAAAGGAGACGATCGCCATCGCCTTATTATAGTCGATACCGATCACGGTCAAGATCCCGTTCCTACAGTCCGAGTAAGTAAATACAAGTGAATGAATAGAATCTGGCTGGCTTAAACCTTGTTGTTACTAGTATTAACCGACCAGTAGAAATTCTGAATGTGAAAGCAGAAAAGCTGGGTACATTAAACCTGAGTTGATGGGTGTACAGTTAGTTTATAGTAATTGTGTAAATTTTTTTTTTTTTTCCCCCAGGACGCTACTGAAGATAGAAGAGCTACAGCTGAGGACATGATTTTTAAATACGAAGTTCAGATCTTACCTTCCCTACTGCTCTCCCTCCCATCCCTCCCTTCCTGGTCCTTCATCCAGCTCTTTTACAAATCTTTGGTTCATTTAGAATATACATACTTTCTGTTGAAGTATTCCTGTTTTTCATCCCTCCTTATTGTAACACTCTGAAATATTGTAATTGTTGTAGTTTTTGTGTAGTAAAACATCTTAAGTAAAATGAAATAGAGAACCCAAAGTGCTGATACCTTTTGGAAGTCGTTCCTATTTCGTTTTTAAAACAATTGGACTCCTGACTAATCTTTCATATTTTTAAAGCTTGCATGTCATGTGTAATATACACACTCAGATACTTTAATATGAACCTGCATTTCCAAGTAACTCGTTAATCTTTCTGTTAAAATGTTTGCCTATTACTTTGATAAACAAGTAACGACTTTGAGCCTTTTCTGTAATGACAAATTTACTTAGATAGTCATGAACCAGAGGATTTTTTTTTTTTTTTTTTGTCAGGTAGTTGCTTTGAGTGTAGACTCTTTGAGCTAGAGTAAAATTTGGTATTCGACTGACTAGGAAAATAGATCCTTGTACACTCAAAATTAAGACTGTATTTTATAGGTAAAGTTTCGGAATTGCTACGCAGTGGATAACGTTAAAAGTTAAAGCTGTAAAAATCTTGGGTTTTTTGTTGTACTTGGTTGAATATTTCCCCTTAATCGGCGCAAGAGAAAAAATATTTATTGAACATAGCAATTAGTTATATAATTTGCTGTTCATTTAAACAACAATAACAAAAACTGCCAACTTTTTGGTATTGCAATAATGATTAAGCACGTTTCATTTCCAGTCCTTTTTGGAGTTTTGAAAGTATGGATGGAAAAACCTACAACTACATGTAAACCTTTTTTTTCCCTGTTCAATAAAAGTTAATTCCACCGAGATATGGTTTCGTGTGGTTTGTTCTGCTTTTCGTGTCAGCTTGGAATAGAGGTTAAATAAGACTCACTATTGCTGTATGGATAATAAAGTCAGCATTTATCTGTCTTCTGAGGAGCCTTGTCTTCCCTGAGAATCAGCATGCGGTTATATGGGATGGCTACACAGAGTGGGTAGTCCAGCTCTCTCTTGTGCCATCTTTGGCACTTACTGGAGCTGTGGGGAGATCGTTGAAGGAGAGAAACACTATTGACTTTGTTCAGATTGCTGGCAAGTTTTGCCCTCTGAAATAACTTGCCACGTGGCTGGTTGAATGTCAGTGTTGGCACAGCAAAAGGAATAGGGACTACTAAACCCTTTCAGCAAAAATAGTTTCATCCTGGTTGTCAGGGAATGCCACGGAAAGAGTTTGGCGTAATTTTAAGGGGGTAAGCTTATGAAATGTAATTTTGTAACTATTTCTGAACTATTTACAAGTAATCGAAAGAAACACAAACACCTCCACCTCTCTTGAAAGGCTTGATACAAGATGCCAGGAGAAAGTGGTGACAAATCAAGTTGTAACTTAATGGTTATTGCTCCATACTTTTTACCCATTATGTTTTATCCATAAATTGTAGTTGAAAACTCTTAGTAGAATGAAAGCAAAGGACCTGAAACTGAAGTTCAACGAATAACCTTCCAATTCCAATGATTTTACTGGTGATCCAGACAAATTAGGAAATGTTAAGAAAATTGTTCTCTGTAAACTGAAACGCTAAAACCTAATTGTGGAGAGCTGTAGGTATTTTTAATTTTGGTTTTGCTCTTTCAAAATTAAGAGGCGTAGCATGCAGAAATTGTGAGGCAACTGGATGCAAAAGCATGGGAAATAGCTGCAGGACTGGTCCAGGGAGGCATTTGGGCTCAGGGAATTTTGATACTAGGAAGTGAGAGAGGGGCGGCTGCTTCTTGCTGGGGTTATGGTATTTGTGGCCTGTAATCGCCAAGGGTTGAGAAGTTGTGTTAGTCAGCCGGAGAGCGGTGCGCGGCAGATCTGCTGCCCGGAAGCTAAAGCCAGAAGGGCGCGTCTCTATCCTTAGCTTGGAGAGTGTTTCTTCCAACAGTTGGACCTGGCAGCCTAATGATCCTGTTTGTCACAAGTCCATATAAAGTTGTAAGTGGCAACAGCGTATTGCGTGGTGTGTTTTGTGCTTCATGCCGGCCGACGTGATGCAGTCCGTTCGAAGAGCAGGTGAACGTGGTGACTCTCGCTGTGTTGGACATACTTGTATGTGATGTAATGTACAAATAATCATTAGGATTAAATGACCATTTCTAGAACTATTAATCCTGAAATAGGAAGGATAATATGTAGCTGTTTCCTTATTCATGTATTGCTGCTGTTATTTTAGCTGAGATCAGCTGGGCGGAGATCTTGGTGTTCGCAGTTTTCTGTATGTAGCTTGTGGCTTGTGTTCTCCCCAGGAACGGGAGCCTGGTCTCTGCCTTGTTGTGAATGGACTTAAGAACGTCTTTTATATGAGCTCCTGGTTCTGTTTATGAAATAAAATAGCTTGAGTAACTCTCATGCTGTGTCTCTAAACACAGCTAGTTACACAGATACATACTTTCTCTAGTCGTTTTCATGTTTTCTTTAGTTCTAGGGGAGGAATTACAGGCGTGGTCACTCTGATCATGTGCTACAGTTTTTCAACAAAGTAAAAGTAAGTCAACCTAAGTAACAAAATTTAGTGTTACTTTGTGCCACTACACAGGAAGCTTAAGTTCACACTTGAATTGCAGGTAATATTGAAATACTGACTTCAGACAAACCTGGTAGCTCATCTAGGATCTTGTATTGCCTCAATTCTAGGCGTAGGATACAGAATGAAAGATAATACTTGCTCTTGAACATACTGTGTTCCCAAATGCTTCAAAGAAGTGGCCACAAGAAGTTCACAGCAGCTGCTACGCAGGCTGAGACTTTGTGTCAAATGGAAAATTTGCACCCGATGAGAACAGTTGGAGTCGTATGGGTTTACATGATGGGTCTAGTGACCTTCTGAGTATGTGTGTGTATGTAAAGATGATGTGCATAAGGTGAAGTTTATTAAGGCTATCGTTTTGTCATTCATCCTGTGTAACTATACGTCAAATCTGTAATGACATTAAGCCTTCAGTCTGCCAGTGCTTACCAAAGCGTTGGACTGTGGTGCTGAACGACATGAAAGAGGTGTGACCCTGCCAGCTGAAGAATGCTTTTTGGAAAAGCACCTTCTGTTGTGTGGCTTCACAAAGGAGGAACAGTTGGGCATACTTAAACCACCAGCTCTTACTATCGGTCTACTCAGTTTAGCTCCTGCAGTTCTCTAGAACTAGTGTGAATTCTCCGGACCAGAGTAGGAAAACGATCTGGGATAAATCTTTTGTATTGCTTCCTACAAAAGCAACTTTCTTTGGTTGGACAAACAATGCAAACAAGTTTTCCTCATGCGCACAGTCAGCGCCGTTGTCTTTTAAATAGCGTAAAGGAGGACACGAAATGCAGACTCCAGCCACGCCATCTGCAGACCTAATGGTTTCTTGCAGTGTTTGCCTTTTACTTCTGCATGAAGTAGTTCAGGTGGGACTACCTGTGTCCTCAGACGGGTAAGGACTGTCAGGGTCAGCAGGGGAATGTTTTCCCGTATCTCACACAGAGCTGTAAATACACACTTTGATCAAGTTTAGGTGAAAAGCAGAGTTTCCCTTGAACAGGTCAGTAGGGTGTCCAGATAGCGCAAAAAATATCATCATCACACTTGCTCAGTTTGGGTTAAACTCGTTAATAAACTGGAACAAATAAGCCGTAGTGCTTTTTGTTCTACTGCTTTAGCTATACAAGATTAAACAGTCGCTAAGAACCTGGGAATACACTAGTGGCCTAGAAAAGGCTGTGAGCCACTTAAGCGGGTCTGTTGAATTTCATGAGGAAGAGAAGGCCACCTTAACACAGAATGATTTCTTAACCCTTGTGGTAGCAACTGAAGGTTACATATTTTGTATCTAACAGCAGTTATCTTTCCCATTGAAATTAACAACCAAATTTATTCGGCAAAACATTAAAGGTTATCTTTGCTAACAGATCTGCAAACCTTTCTTTAAATCAGTTCTTGAAGAACAAGTGACTGCAATGGAAATAAGGTTCCCACTGTGAGAAAGGCTAGTGGTGCCTCCTGTGTAAGATTACTTTTTAAACTTAAAAAGTAGATGTTTCTTTGTTGTCCCCCTTTTTTTTTTTTTTTAATTTGTTTTGGTTTTGATGGAGCTTTCGGACTGTGAAGGTTTCTGATGCATTAGGGATGAAGAGTGGAAAATTGTAGTCACCAAGAACCGATATTGATGTAACTATTCCACCAATCCAATCTGCAATTCCACCTTCATCCTCCTCCCAGTACTGCATTAGGAGCCGGCTGCATATTCTCTGCGCAGTGTCTCAAATTCAGTAATTTATGATCTGCCAAAATTTCCAGGTTGATTTTTCTTGTGCCAACCCAGTCCCATAATACATGGAATACTGCATCAGCGGTAAGCAGCACAGGCACAAGATAACCCTCCAAGATGCTTCAGTATCTTTGTCTTTCAAAATTTGCTCCAAATGAAAATATTGACAGAGGACTCCTCGAGTTGTATACAGATGTATCACAGGAGCTTGTGTAGGTCTTTATATTTGCTTTAAATGAAAAACAAAACTCCGCATGTAATTTCATTGAGGTAGAGCAATGGATCGGTGCTGTGCAGAAACCGGTCTTGCAAATCTCTGGATGGAGGAACCATGGGTTGTTTGGACCTCTCTTTTTCACTGCTTTGTTTTCACTCCTGTTCTCAGCATGATGATAACTAGCCCATTTTTAACTGGTTTGGTTTGTGGATCCAAGGTTATGAGAATATAGAATCATAGAATGGGACCTTAAAGATCATCTAAGTTCCAACCCCTCTGCCATGATCCACTAGGTCAGGTTGCTCAAAGCCTCATCCAACCTGGCCTTGAAAATTCCAGAGATGGAGCATCTACAACTCCTCTGGGCAACCTGTTTCAGTGTTTCACCGCCCTCATTGTAAAAAATTTCTTCCTTATCTCTAATCTAAATCTGCCCTCTTTCAGTTTAAAGCCATTCCCCCTTGTCCTATCACTACGTACCCTTGCAAAAAGTCCCTCTCCAGCTTTTCCTGTAGGCCCCCTTTAAGTACTGGAAGGCTGCAATAAGATCTCCCTGGAGCCTTCTCTTCTCCAGGCTGAGCAGCTGCAGCGCTCTCAGCCTGATGCTTATTTACAGTACTACTTCGATACCTGTAAGCTGGCGCTTGTCTCATGGTAGAAACCTTGTAGAGTTTTGGAGGTGAAGAGAATCTGAAGGGGATGGCTAAAGGGAACCGATGTTTGTTAGGCTTTAATAATTCACAGTGGCTCCGCTGTCTTTCATAGGTTGCGTGGAAGCAGACACCCAACTCTCGCAGCAGTGCAGGAATGAAGAACCACTGAAGGCCAATTACTAAATTGCCGTTGATGACGCGTACTTGTGTGATTCCACTACGCTGGCAACACAGATCTTTACAAATGTTGCATAGTATCTGATCTCACAACAAACACACGGAATGCCTTCATCAGGGAACATTCAACTGGTTGATGGCTCTCTCACGTGCATTGCTGGGATATTTTGGCGTGATCTGGACTGTGGCAGGATGGCAACAGAATGGAGGGCTGCTGTCGCCTGCTTGTCGACTGTCGCAGTCTAACACACTTTCCTAATGCTCCTCTTTCTCTTCTGCTCCTTGCTCTAGATGTCAAGTTTTTCACCTTTCTCCAGACCACTAGGTTGAGTGCAGGATCGGGTAGAGAGGAGCAACACATAGAGAACAGAAAGGTGATCTGTTTCACATTGAAAAATCACAGATGTCAAATCCCACCATTACTTTGCAGCTGAATTCCTCCTGGTTGAGGATCCTCTCTTCCATGAGGAGCTGTCAGTTTGGATTTCTAG